CTTGTCTTTTCGTTCCACGATGAACAGAGAACTATTTTTTTCATACAGAAGATTAGATTCACTATTTTCTTGTCCACAATTTTTATTCTCATAGCCTTAAGTATGCTCCCCAGAAGGTCGATGAGCTGAAATCACAGTTAATTTTACCACTCAAGTCAATATTGCTATCATGTAAACAGCACGGCAAAACTATTCCATGGTAATTTTTTTCTAAGAACGCATCAATGGAGTAATAATAATTTATGACATTAACTATGATTTTAATCAATATTTTACAGCCAATTTAACGAGCTATGCATAAAACTACTCAACGTTGCTGTTTTCCTCTGCATGTGTATGATATCGTCACTGGCATGATGAAAAACTACCTCAGATTTATTGTGAATCAATCACTAACACAAAAATTGGGTTTTCTTATGTTAGTTGACTTCGGAATCATTGGACGACAGTTGAAAATACGCACGTGAGAAATAAGTTTCTCATTTAACCGAGAAAAGTGAATAAGGGTCGGGATTTAAATTCATACGCCTGTATTACCAAGCTCCCAAGCTACCAGTACCATAAGCTGAACCACTGTGTTACCATGACCACGTTTATGTATGTACGTACATATATGAACATTTTAATTTTAATTAACATTTGTCACTATTATGCTAACATTGGCTCATTACAATGTGCAATATTAAAAATATCTGTATTGCTACAGGGTATCGCTTATGGTACCCGTACAAATCTTACCAAATTTATTATTTTATTTTGATCTCGTACATCAAAAATAATATTTTTATACAATCCATGCACTTCATACTTTTATATGGTTCAATAGCTGAAGAGATTGTAGTTTTTTAATGACTTTCAATTATAATTAACATTTTACTTAACTGTAAATAATGTAAAAGTTTTTTATCGTACCTAACTGTAAATAATGTAAAACTTTTCATTGTTAACTTCAATACAGGATTTTGAGATTAATTGATTAATCTGTATTAAATTGCATGAAAATCTATGAAAATATTTTTAAAAGAAAGAGATATTCTTTTTAAGAACTTCTCAAATGTCTTAGAGTTATGTTGTTTTAAATCTTATATTTATATTTTGCGTTTTCCTCAAGTTTTTCATACTGACACTATTCTATGAAAACTAGCAGAATGATGGCAGTATATTACATGAGGATTGGCAAAAGTTAAAGAAATTATTTTAAAATATAAAATTAAATTTTTAAATCAAATGGAACACCTATTTAAAAATCAAGCAATAAAATATAAACGTTCTGGAGGGAAAAAGAATCATAAAAATCTATAAAGGCACGTGTAGTATCCATGGATATAACAGTACATAAATCTTATGTTAAAAGCATCTATTTCATACCGATTACTGATCTAATACACACAATATGAATACAGAATAATGAAAAGTACAAATTATTTTTGTAGAATACATATTTAATGGTTCAACTTTTGTATTTTGGATGTGGTGTTATACAGAATAGTATAGGAGACTTTTTTTAAGTATCTGGTATGTTTTGGAAGCTATACTTTAAATAATAAAAATATTTACTCTTACAATAAATTTAATTACATTATGCTTATTTACCGTGCAATTAGTACTCAGTGGAATAGCATATATTTTACTAACGAAGCTAGTTTTTTTACAGCATTTCTCAAGATGCGTCCAATGCTTTTCTTTATTTTACGAGCAACAAATTCTGCTGGAATGACCTACGAGGCTGCAAAATGGTAAAATCAATTTTTTGTAACAGTCCTTTTAAATTTTCTAATAATCAGACGTACAATATACTTTGAAGAAAATTCAATACGTTACTTTCATTTTGCTTGTCTAATCACTTAAATTGGAGAACAGTAAATAAGTAAAAATATTATATTTCATGTACAACTTAAAATTAGATTTAAATTGTTAAAAAAAATTTGTCATCTGATTGTTCATGAGAAAAGGAAGAAAAATATGGTTAGAGTATGATTAAACCCCTTCATCTTTATCTTTAAGAGCATTTGTACAACTGAGCCATTTGCTTTGTTAACTAAATAGTGTCACTACGGCACATAAAGAGCCAATGTTTGTATACTAGTGATACATTCTGATTAAAATTATGGCATATGTAATTACAACTTTTCTTTAATATTGATTTGTAAAAAAATTGAAAAAAAAAAAACAAGCAAAACATTTTTTTCATTATTGCACAGTGATAAATAAGCGTATGGTATAAAATGATTCTGCTATGCTGCTTACATGGTGCTATTCATGACTTTGGTTATAAAACTTACGACCCTAACACCATTTGCTTTCTGGAGAGCATAACTACAGCGTTGGCCGTGATAGTGAAAAGTTTGATACCGTTTGCAACCTTCAGGCCATACAGTGGTGAAGCCTAGTAGAGCTCAGCGCCACCGCCGATCTAGCCATGAACTAACATTTATACATATGGTTATATAGTTACACTGAGCTCTACTGGGCTTCACCAACATACGGCCTGAAGGTAGCGTTTGGCATCAAACTTTTGGCCATGGTAGCCAACACTGCATTATTAACATTATGGAAGAAAAAAATAGCGGATAAGAAACGGCGGATCTAGCTTTCGATACAAGAGAACGAAAAAAAAATGGTATACAGTGTTCTATATTCTCTACCATGAATGTCAGGTGCAAGATAGGACTGCTAATGAAAAAACGTTACCTAGTTAGCAGAAACTCATTTGTTATTTTCTTTCATTATGATCGATTAACAACCAACAAAATAATTAAATATTGTTTTTTTTAACGAAGGCACTGAAGAAGGTCAACTGTCTTACGGGATTAACGGTTATTTTTTGATAAAAATGTAGACAAAAGTCTTAAAATGTATGAAAAATATGAATGCCATATTTAAAGACCTTGGGATTCTTTTAAACCTAGAAAGTAATAAAAAAAGTTTTGTTTATTTGGCCTGGGTTCTTATGGAAAATTGTCAAGACAAGATCTTTTACATACAGAGAAAAATCATGGAGCAAACGCATAGCGGCAATGGAAATGCCCTTCTTTTTTGACCATGAGCGATTGGCTAATGACGTGTATGCTTTCAACGCATGTAAGTCTGTACCCCACAAACATGCGCACTAGTTACGGAGCAAACAAATGAAGGCACTGGCTTTTTTTCATCGTGCCCATGAGTTTTTGCGAGAGAGGGGATACCAAACAGTATCAGTCATGTATAGATCCGTACAAACTACTAGTCTACTACACACTATAGCTGACTAGAGGACGGCATTTCCTTTCTCCTGAAAACGCATAAGCACGATGGGAAAAAGCCAGTGCTTTTATGCATTTGCCCTGCGACTAGCACTTATGTTTATGGGCTACAGATTTACATGCATTGTAAGCAAACACGTCATGAGCTTATCACATGGGATCAAAAAAGGGGGGGTGGGGCATTTTCATCGCTACTATACATCCGCTCCATAGTTTTTTTCTTTGTGTTCTTGAATATTTTAATGAAAGTTACACTCAGATTTAGACAAAATTACAATAAGCAGTAAATTAGAACATGTTTATTGTGTATAAGAAATACCAATCATCCAATTGTTAGGTCCAAAGATTAAAACTAATCAGAGAGTTTCATCCATCAAACACCATATCGGATTTTTGACTAATCAATCCATCAAGCGCATTATTCAATTATGGCTAGTATGGTAAGCATTAGTGCTATCAGAAAAAAGTTTAGGAAACATGAAAAAAAAAAAAAAAATCGTAATAATAATAATCAATGGAGAAAGCAGATGGTTAAAGATAAGATTCATTATGATAAAAAGTTAGTTTTACATAAATTTATCTCAATCTGATGTAAGTTTAAGTTCGAACTAGGGTCTATATCATTATTTTATCCTCACTAAACTTTTTTACTGCCATCTTTGGTTACCACTATCAACACTGAAATGACGCAATCTGCGCATTTATTGGTAAAAATCCAACATGGAAGATTGCTAGACCCAACATCCTGATTGGTTTGGTTAATCGAATCGTTGACTAACGAGTCTACCTCTAGTATTTGTTACATCACGTGTAAAAGCATTTAATTGTCAAGTGATACGTAATGTGATTTCATTTAGCTCATGTAATTGATTCTATATCATAATTGGTCACAAAGAAGAACTGAGATTACTTAAAAAGGCGAATTTTACCTGCATCTTTTTATTTCATACATTTTAGTGCTACTTTATCAACAGTGGTAACATTTTCTAATTTTGAAAAATATGTTTTAAGTATTATTAAATTGGCACTAAGAAATTCGAGACTATAACTGTAATTGTTCATGTTCCTTGAACTTGAAAGTTCTGTAATTTTTACTTTTCCTGGTACCCTTATGGAAAGTGATTATTCTAAATAGATTTATGTGCATTACGTAAGTAAGAGAAATATAATACCGAAGTGTAATGCTAACATTATGTCATTAGACTACACCTCATAAATATTATCGTAAATTGGAAGACACACGTTTTGATAAAGCAGCACTAATTTAATCAGTTGAAAAAAGACTCGAGACGAAACTTGTTCATTATCTGACTTTTTTAAACCTTACAGTATTGTAAAATATTTAGTAGTTATTTGTTTTTACAAGATCTGACATAAAAATGTATTTTACAACCAACTGGTTTACCTGAAAGTTCATAAAAAGCCTACTTTATTACTTTAACTAACTTCTGTCTCAGTCCATAGTCGTGACTAGAGAACGTTACTATATGCGAGATCGTCGTGCGCACTTTGTATAAAGATACCAGTATCAAAGTAAAAAAGCTATAATAGAAACTTCGCGACATCGAGAGACACGGGATACGACAATAAGTCAACGAAAAGCGACGAACCTCAATTTATGATGTTTTCAGATTGTCATCAGGATCCCTACATTAAGCGAGTCCTACTTAACAGCCGAATGCTTTTGAGAAGACCGTTTTGGCTTTTTAATTACAGGAGTAAAAGAGAGAATCTCGGACTCAGGTAGACGCGCAATACCTCTCCTCGTCCTACCGGCTACTTGCTCCATGGCATTAAAGCGGGCTTGAAGCTGTTCGGCCAGTTCTCGATCTTTGCACTCCTGCTCGGCCAGTCGTTTATAACGCTCTTGTTCTTTAATAAGAAAAAAATTCTTGTGATCTATTCTCAACTCAGATGATGACAACACTAAAGCCAGTGACTTTTGTTTCTTTGATGGGTAAGCATTTTTACGTGGACGCTTACGAGGCAACGGATTAGACAGCATGACGTTTATTGTTCCCATTTCGAGAGTCTTTGTCCGCTCTGTCGGCTTGCATCGTACGGTTCTACTACTCTCTGATTCTAACACTGGTTCAGGAGTCATTTGTTTTACTGCAGGTACTTCTGTACTTTCAGAAGCTCCATTGTATCTTAACCGTTTTGACAATTTCTTGATTCGTGCTAACCTCTTGATTGTCTTACTCGATACTGTCGTTTCAAAGGTATTTTTCCCTCTTTTCGTGAATGGTTTATCTAGCTTTATGTCTAGCTTCTGCGCTTTTAGCTGACAACCTCTTGCAGATGATTTTTTGCTCGTGATTTCTTCTTCTGCTTTGACCTAAACACACAAACATACATTTATTATTCAAATTTTATAAAAATTAATAAAAAAAATAAAGTTTTGCTCCCCAGACTACCGGTAGCGGTGACAGCAAAAAATGGTATACTACTGGACTTATTGTATAAGAAAGTTAATCTTGTTAATTGTCATTTTTGGCTTATATTGCTTTTCCGTTATGAAACAAGCATTATCCTAATTTTTAATAATGCTCAGTTAAAATACCATTTAAAAGTTATCTTAGCATGTTCACATAAATATTTTAATCGTATTATACAATCTTTTACATTTCTATTATAAAGATACAGCAAAAAAAAAACCAAGAATTTAATGATTGCATTTGTATGTTGACTCATGCTTTTTCATTTGTGAACCTTTACGTTTCCATTGCCCTCTTGATACCTATAAGGTTGTTTTTTTAATTTTTTCAGCATCTTCTTCAAAATGCCATTAGTTATATTTTTTGAAAGTTATATTGTAACAAAAATGTTGAAATAGATCTAATGCATATATATACTAACTTTGTCAACGTGTTCTAGTTTTTTTTAAATCCTAGTTTTACAAAGATTTTGGTCAATCAGAGAAAAATGAGGTTATGTTTTCTATAGGCAAACATCTCCCTACTTTTGTTGCGATACAAACATTTTTTCTGATTTTTTAAAGTTAAGTTGTCAATGTAGTAGAAACTAGCCCGACACCAAAGTATCTTTACCAGAAACGAATCAGGTAAAAGGGGCCCGGAAGCTTACACTTTTTTTGTCTATTCCAGCTGAAAAACAATGAAAATCATTGCAATCGAATAGCAAGACTAGAGAAATAATCAGTTTTCCGTCGATACGTAATATACGATTAACTGATTTTTTTAACACTTGTGTCAGGACGAAAATGAATAAAATACGTTTTTATTACTGCTATACATACTTTTTATAGGCTTTTTAAGCCGTAAAATGGCACCAGGCATAAAAAGTACTGAGTTCTCCATAAATACGTATATATCCGTATGTTAAAAAAATAGGAAAAACACATAACTTTTTCTTAAGTTCTTGTGCCACAGTAAAAATATCAAGATGTGTCTTTTATACCTACACACCATTCTTATAAGTTTTCGAAGCCATAAAAGGTCAACAGGCTTGAGATGTAAAGAGTTTTTAGTAGATTTATTCACATGCAAATTCGAATAAAAAGGGGAAGAAATTTTCAACTTTTTGAAACTCGTGTGCCATAATAAAAAANAGTAATGTACTTGAAAGTTAATCTTCCTACCTAAGAATGTGGTCAGGTATTGTTTAAACAATTTTTTTGTAAACAATTTCGTCAAAGTTGTTTTTTCGATCTGAAAAAAATATTCTCAGATTTTTTGGCACATTTGAAACAAAAAACCAATTGGAATGTATATACCTAAACCCCACAGTTTTCGAGTAAAAAATTCCCGAAGTTTAAAAAAATGCATTTTTTCCGATTTTCAGGGCTTTACGAGACTATTAAATAAAGAAATTTTTATATGTTACAACACATGAACATAAACTAAAAACCTTCCTCTACAATCTCCAAAAAAGAAAATATCAAAAAGTTGAGTGGCAAGATTTTTTTTTGCAATAAACTTTTAGGGCGTATCAGCGCGCACTCACATATGAGTGTATAACTATATATGTTCACTACACGCTGAGCCACGCAATGTATATATAAGTATACACCCACGCAGGAGCGCGCAAATACGCAATTATGTCTTTTGAGAAACACAATAATGTTCAACAACGACGGAAGGCCAGAAGAATTGGCGGTACCATAAAGCTGGTAAAGTCAACGGCTGCTGCACGACGAAGGCCCGTACAGGCAGCAGCAGCAGTGATGTACAGCATTGTGACTGCTGACACTAGTTTTTCATCGTCTCACGATGCCCAATTAAAAAATGGCGAACGTCTACGAGCTTCAGCGCGATGCACTGAACAAGCCAGTCAGTTTCTAGGCCTCTTTACTACACAACCACGCAGTTTTATGTGTAGTAAAAAAAAAAGAGCAGAGGAACTGGTTCAAGAGAACCGTACTCGATAGGTACAGATTTTTAAATATTTTACAGCCATTTCTAAGAACTTTTCTTAATAGGCTCTGCATTGCTGTGTTACTCTGCGTGTATATGCTATCATCATTGGCATATTAGAACACCGCCTTAACTGAATGTTATTAATCACTTACACAGCAATGTGCTTTACATATCTACCAAATCATCGGATCACGTTTTGGAATACGCACTTGAGCTATTGATTTCTGAGGTGCGAGCCAAATGTGTAAAGATCAGGTCTCGAACTTAGAAGTTTGTGATACCAAGCTCCCGAGCCATAAGAACTACGACCTAAGCCACCGTGCTACTGTGGTTTCTGATAGGTATCGTTATACCTGTATATACACGGACAACACACCAGCGCACTGTCCGCGTCTACCTCGCACTTGCAAAGGAATACAGTGAAAATGGTTTTAGAAATCTAATAAATCTCTTTATTGGAAAGTGTTTTTTTTTCTTTTTTTTCAGAATTGTTAAAAAAAAAAATTCAAAGTCAAATAAAAATTATTGTGAAAAAATAAAATTAAAATTTGTTTAAAAATGAATTGCTTGGGAGTGTGAGGGGAAATGGTGGGCAAAGGTGTGCAGAAGAGTAAGACGGCACGGTTGGCAGATATACATATATAGTGGGGGGAGGGAAAGTATGTAGAGAACAGTAGGTGAGGGGGACAGGGTAAGGGGGGAAACTTGAGAGGAAGAGACTTCGGGTAAACCACTTCCGTTTCAAAAAAAAAATCTGTCGGTCTAAAAATTCTAGCCCCCCGAGTACGCGATATAAAGAACTCCGTTCTAAAAATAAAATATCTTTTCATCACCACCAGACACAACTCTTACGTGTTTTCCTAGTCGTATAAAACCACCAAACTTAAAACTCACTGAGTTTCCGATGGATACGTATACACACGCATCCGAAAAAAATAAGGAAAAAACTTGTAACTTTTTTTGGAACTCTTGTGCCACGATGAAAATGAATAAAATATGTTTCTTTTACATGCGCTCAAATACTTAGGCATAAAAATAACACAGGCTTCAAATAAGGAGTTGTCCCTCAAAAATTTCTCAGAAACTGAACAAACTTCTTCAAGTATAATAATTGCACGAGCTGATGCATTAAGTAAAATGTCAATGTAGTTCAAATTGAAGAATTCAAGATCAGCTAAAGTAAGATCACCATAAACTGACGAATCTACCAAACTACTACCGATAGAAGGCCTGATCTAAAGTGGGGTTAAAATTGGAAGGATACAGATTTACTGAAACTGTTTCACCAACTTCTGTAAGGGTAACAGTTTAATTTTAACAAGTCACAGAAAGATTTCATCACAAGCGAGCTTTGAAAATCCTGATCAATCAAGCTGTCACAAGAAATTTACTCGTACCATCAGCAGAACTCACATAGATTCGAGCAGTAGCAAGAAGTAAACCAAGAGATTTAATAACGCCGTTTTATTCACTGAGACAAGATTGTACATTGATGCCAAGATCAGTAGGTAACGTGCCTTTATCCTTTTCAGAATTCTTATCCAAGATTATTGTCTGACTCACAGATCTTGGTAGTCCAACCTTAAATGGCGTAGGAGTCTGGTGGTATACGCATCAACGTGTAATGCTTTTGGCGACAGTAATGACAAGTGGAGGTAGAAGTACGATTTTTATTCCATGTAGTCCGAAACAATTGGCACATAGGTCTGTTCTCTGTAGAAGATTTAACTTTTATTTTCAAGACAAGGCTTTTAAAAAAAGACTCGAATGGAGTTTGTGTTCTAACTGACAATAAAAACTCAACTTCTCAGAAACTACACGCTGACAGGAAGAACATGACTTGTCTGCCTCGAGACTTAATTTTTACGATTAGTTTCTAGCTAACTAGAATACGACTTACGCATTAGAATCTAAGAAGAAATAAATTTACGTAACTGCCTTAAGGTAGAAGGATCACCACTACTTTCTGAAACCTTTTGCCAATTTTGCTTCGTACGGAAGTCAAATTCACTAACTACTTAAGCAATAAATAAGTCAAAGTCACCTCTATTACGCTACCTTGAAATAAGAAAATCTAATGGACTGAGCATAACTTTAGATAATCGCTTGATTTCAGGACAAGAATTACCTTTTATCGCTTGACAGCTAAGCATAGTAGACGTGTAATTATTAATGAAAAAATGTTTCTTATCGTAATATTTAACTAAGGCATCCCAAGCCTGTTCATAATTTTCTTCAATAAGTTAAATGTTCTTGATCAAATCTAAATCCTAAACTTTAAGATGCACTCTAAGGTGATGATACTTAGTGATCTTAGGGATTTCCCGTTTACTATGTATTATTGCCTTAAGCACGTCACAAAAGTTTTCTCAAGAAGTAAAATCACCCGAAAAACAAGGAAAGTCGATAGCAGGTATAAATAAGTGAACAACAGATAAATTTGAGCCAGGCTGTGGTGAGGGAACAGTATCAATAGGATCACCAGAAGACAATAAAAAAATCCTCGAAATCAACCTACACCATATAAAACTGATTTTTAACACCAAAAAATTTCTCCTTGAAATAATCATGAGTTACTGGCGAGGGGGGCAACTACATTATTAGACCGGGCTCAAACAGTGATAAACCCGGAAAAATTATTCGCACCCAATTTTTTTCTGCTTTCTTGTTGAAAATATAGTAATGTACTTGAAAGTTCATCTTGCCACCTAAGAATTTGGGCAGGTATTGTTCAAACAATTTTTTTGTAAACAATTTCGTCAAAGTTGTTTTTTCGATCTGAAAAAAATATTCTCAGATTTTTTGGCACATTTGAAACAAAAAACCAATTGGAATGTATATACCTAAACCCCACAGTTTTCGAGTAAAAAATTCCCGAAGTTTAAAAAAATGCATTTTTTCCGATTTTCAGGGCTTTACGAGACTATTAAATAAAGAAATTTTTATATGTTACAACACA